GAACTCACACACCGTTGCATACGCACGCTCTATAACATCCCAACATGCTGCATTGGTCTAGTTCTACTTTATGCACATCTACACCGACACACCCGATCAGGCTGAAGTTGGCAGGCTGATGAAGAGATCCTGACAATAGAGGATAGAAGCAACTCCACTACTGCAGATGGCAAGATAGACTCACACACTGCCTGCATAAACAGCCTATCACTGGAGCTCAACGACAAAGAAGGAGAGAGAGAGGGAGGGAGGGGCAGATGGGGGGCGTGATGGTTAGATATGGAAAAAGATGAGAGCACAAGAGTGGAGAGGAGACGAGAGGAGAGAGACGAGAGAAAAGGAGGAGGGAGAAAGTATCTGCACGAGAGATATAGAAGGCAACAGCCATAAAAAGATGTGAGGTACATGATGAGTGCAAAGAAAAAAAGCAAGGAACAACCGAAGTGAAAGAGAGATGGGTATTCACAGGGCTTGTCTAATTGTCTTGGTCAGCTGATCGACCACAGCTTTGAGCGTCAGATTTCAGCCAACAGCTTTTGCATCAAACACAGGTTTTCGTACACTCGAGCAGAAACCAGACAAACACAAGCAAACTGATGTTAACACCAAACTTAGGCTCAGTGACTCAGAGCAGCCTCCAGCATAAACACTACTCTACTCTCTGCATTTCTCACTGGTCCTTGGCTGTCATGAATTATTAATCCACACTGCAATACACACCTATAAACACATGTACATAACACACAAAAAGGAAAGAAAAATCAATAAGTTGTAGATTCTGGAAGAAAGAAATAGCACAGCCTTACTGCACAAAGCCCTGATGGTAGCAGAAACCCCATGAGGCGACTTAGGCAGATCCACTTCAACACACGCACAAACTTGGAGCGCGTGCGTAAAATCGATAAACTGCTCAGATCCTTAGCACCTTTGGAAGACATTTCTGCCCCTCCTGTGATGCAATGTTGTGCAATTGGAGTCTATTTTTCTCAATGCACCTGTGTGCAGTTCGTGTGCGTGTACTGTATCTGTGTGAGCACATTCACTCTCCATCCTAATAATGTATGTGTGCACTGGTTAAGGACAGGTTGGTTGCTAGGCAACACTAGACAGCCTCTATGGAGAAGCTGTAGATCCTCCTTAAATAAGACAAACACAGAGAGTTTGGGGCCAGTGTGAGTGATTTTGGCTAATGGCGACAGGCAAACACACACGCCCTGCAGTATGTTGAACATCAAGTGAGTCTGACCTAGTTTTTGCACAGAGATACTGAATAGAGTTGATGCACAATTCACACCCAAGAATGGAGCACTGATGTCTGTATAACATAAAAGTAGGAATCACACATACCGCGCACACAAGGGGGTAAAAAATTAAGTTAAGGTGTAAAAATAAGGCTTTGTGACACGACTGTCACTCTGCAGTGCAAATTCATCAAGGTCTCATATCAATTATTGATGCCTGAGGCTTAGCTCACAGCTCTCTACGTTCTATTATTTATGTCTAAAACAGCTGGCGGTTTATGCCTGGAGGAATTATTCTCCAAGGTAGACTGGATGGCAAAGGGAATGCTAGCAGTGGGTAGGGGGGCTCACCATCTCCATGGCAACTTGTATCACTGAATGAGAGAAGTCTTGTTCAGTGTGGCTGGCGAGCGGTTTTCTAACACACAAGAACTGCAGTACACACAGGCACCAACAAAGAGCCTCATACTCTCTCAGCAATGATCTTAATACCAGAGCAAAACCTTCTGCGGTGAAGCATCTGCTGATAGTGTGTCCTCTGACAATACCATCAACTCTGCAGTAACATCTGCTTCCAATACTCCTCCGTAACAGTCATTGGTTTCTTTTGTACGAGTCCCATTTGCATCAGTTTCCTAAATGCACATTATGGGCAAAGCTGCTACAGCTTTCATTAACACAAACATTTACCTTCTTTGTAATTTAGTCTGAAAGACCCACTTAGTTGAAATGTTTCAGTGAAATTGTCTTATGTATATTTAAGAAAACCTGTGTGTATTTGTTGAGAAATGTACATGCATAAAAAGCAGTATTATTTGGTAAGGTGTAGACTTAATATTATTGGCCTACAGACAATACTTTATGCAGCTCAGTAATCATCTTTCACCTTGTTAACCACAGCTGAGTAACCTCCCTTACACTGTGACAGTAAAATTGCTCTCAAAATTATATTATAAAATCAATATATTTTTTCTTCCTCTTTCTGCACCTCGGTCTCCAACAATGCCTGTTCAACATATCTTCCATTTCTCCTTGGCACTGGCCTCAGACATTAACCTCCTCTTTCGCTGGATTTTGCTTCTTGTTAATTTTGTTCACTTATAATGAATACCTTCATATTTTAAGCTTTGCCGCCCTCACTGGCACTGGTCTCCAAAGCAGACATTATAATATTTGCTTTTCAGATCCTCCATCCCATAAACATTTTTTTTGTAAAATAAGCAGATACAGTGCCCAACAAGTCAGTAGCTGCAATGATTATAGCAAGGCTAAGGCAAAACCTGATTTAACTTTATTCAAACCCTAAAAATCTTAAAAATCAACACAGTTGCAAACCTGGTGGTGGACTTCTCTGAAAAATGATTTTCTTTTACTATTTGCTGTCTAATAGTAATAAGGCCATCTGTTTAAATGAATTGAGGCAGGGCTCTGAAATATATGACTAGAACTGTGCATGTGTTTTGTTCCCATCTCATGAGAACACAGCCCAACATAAGACAGGGAAGTTTGTTAACTTGATGAACTAATGAGGTACTCCTCATTGGTTCATCAAGTTAACAAACTTACATTAACATGGCTGTCAGGCCAGACTTTGGACATACAGTATATTATTGTTATTTGTTGTTTGTTTGTATTTTTTTGCTCCCTTAGGTGCTAAACATCAAGTTGTTACATCAGTTAATGTGATGGTGCACTGACCTGCTGGGTGGCACCCTGTTTCCGGTTGGTGGCTGTGGTGGTAGTGATATCATTATTGGAGGGGGCGGAGTCAGAGCGGTTGCCTCCAGCTGCAGCACTGGACTGTGGTGTTATGGAGGAAGACGGCATGTCGCCAACCAACCGTGCGCTGCCCTCTACTTTAATATGTGGATGTCCCTCAGCGGCCATGTTGAGGATGCGGAGACCATTGTAGTATAGTCCAGAGAGCTGCCCCTGGAACATGCCTGCACTGCGCTCCCCTCCACCGACGCGCACCGTTGTCTGGCTGTTGAAGATTGTCAGCTGGCGGCCTAATGCACACGCACACACCAAAGAAACGCAGCCACAGCAGGAGAAAAGGTGGACAGACACACACACACACACACATACATACCAGCGGTCACATATGTGCGTACATTTGCACACAAATGTGTTTGAGTGTTACACAATACACCACCCCAAGGCATGGTAGGAGGATGAAATAGATAAAGCATGGCAGAGCGGATCGAAGCTGTGGAGAACCTCGAGCAGGTTTTAGATTAAGAAACTAGAGAAAGAGGAGGAGAGAGGAGGAAGGTGAGGAGACTGGGAAGTTGAAGAGGAGGAGGATGAAGGAAGGTAACAGATGAGAGGAGTCAGAGGGCCCTGAAAAGATAGGGCTGGCAGATGGTTGCTATGGTGATGGTTGTACGACGACATTTTATTTGTAGGAGCAACAGACAGGCAGACAGAGATAGAGATCTAAAGAACTGTTGTAACAGCCCTATGAAGCATGCACAGGTTGGAAGCTCTAGCACTGCTCACTGTTAAAGGGACTAGAGGCTAATTTAAGCTCAGCTAAAGTTTAGAAAGAAAATTTTTACTCTTTTTGTTTTCAGAAAATTTACCATTATCCTATTAATCATTTCAAATTTACATAATAACAAGACAATACTTTTCATGTACTTTAATTTGGTTACAATTTTGACCATAATTGTTAGTAAGTGCTTTATTGTTTACAATGTAATAATAAAATAATTTACCAGTGTTAATAAAGCATCTTTTATTGCACTTTTCTATTTTCTGATTTATTCACATTTAATTCTCTCCATTGTCCCTTTAACCTGATATTATCAGATACACACTAACATGATACGTTCACAGGCACTACAGTTTACACAGTATTACACACTACAACTGCCCAACTTTTAAATACTTAGTTATGAATTTAGATTTTTAGATGTTAGTTGATGGTGCACAATATACTATATTCAACTGTCTTCAAATTGTATTTTTAAGCTCAAAGTTTTAAGGAATTTTAATCAGGGTTTTTACCTTTGTCGAGTAGCCAATCGTCAACTACTCGACCGAGCCGATAGGGGATTCGCTGTCTGGCGATGGCCAGGCGCTCGTTATCAATGTTGCCTTTAATTTAGAGATGAAAACACAGTAGTAATTACGCACATCCAAACTTGGTACAGGAGCTGGATACAAAAAGAACAGCAATGAAAAGAAAGTAATGGTCTGCTCGTTATTGGCATGTCACTGCAGTAAGGAAGGCTTGTTGTGCTGAAGGAAGAGGAGCTGAATTCACTATGTTTCCAGTGAGCGGACTCTTACTCTCTGTTCATTGGATTTAATTTAAAGAGACATTTCAGGGGTTAACATCTGCAAGAGCACAGGGAAATAATGTTACAGCTGCCACATACTGTCTATAAACCTGACTGTGTTTAGAGTTACATACAGTAGTGCATACACCTCACAACATTTAGCATTTTAAGCTACCTGAACACTGTGTTAATTATTACCACTTTACTGCCTAAGATTACCACTTTGAATATAAAAATCAACAAATATAAAAACAAAGACTAGACTCATCAACATTCACTTTTTTCATTTTCTTATTTTTTTTTACTCTAGTTAAACATTTAACTCATAATATGACATACTTTTAAATTATTATTTGTCCAAAATGCACCAACTGTTATTTTATGGTCAGAAAAAAGACACCCGAAATGACTATTTTCATAAATTACCTTTTACACTATTTAACAGAGCTATAACATAAAATAACTGGCTGGTATACAGATTGTTGTAAATACTGTCTCATTTTATGGTTTTAAAAAGTCATGTTTCAGAATCAGGTCACACATAATTCCTTTCAAACACAATAACATTAAACCAAACTGTAGTTAAGTTTTTCAGCTTCATTGAAAGTAAACATTGATAGAAACAGTGGTGGTCTGGCGGTGGATTGCTTAAGGCTCAAGTGTCGTCCGCTCTGCCCCAGGATGGGCAGTGCTTTAGTGGGTCAGTGCTGTAGCTCATGTAGGGGGGAGGGCCTACCTGAGGGATAGCGCTCTATGACTGGTAGGTCATCAAGTTGGAGGGTTGCATTGCCTCCGCTGCGTGTGAAGCGAATTATGTGGTACTTCCCGTCGTTGACAAACTTGGAGCTCTCCTCGATGTTGATGTCGTCAGTACCAACATTAAACACTACTCTAATGTTGCCTTTGTCCTGTGGGGGGCAGTGCAGATATGAAAACCATTAGTCTTGAATGTATCAGTGCATTTAAGGGCAAATGGCTCTTTGAGGCTAGATTTGATTTTCTGACATTTGCAGAGGGCTCCCATTCATTGTCACACTGACGGCTGAGAAATCTTTTGACTTCACCAACATTCCAGAACTCCTCTGTTTGGTCTTTGTGTAATTTACAATTTTTAACAATTTTGTCTTTGCTGTGCGTTTTTAGAAACTTAACTTGGCTGCAGATCAGCTTTCATAAAATGTCTTTAATCCTTTTCATGATCCTTGCTATAGTTGTATTTATCATGTATAATAATAATAATATAAATTAAAATATTGTCTTAGAATATTTATTAACATTACTATATATTAGACATACAGGTTAGGTGCAACTGCATTTATACCTTTAAATCCCAGATATATTAACGACATTTTTTCAAGACATAAAAGAAAACGTGTGGTGACCGTTATTTAGGTTCAGCTTTTAAACTCTTTAAAGCTACAGTCTGGAGATCAGCTTCTGGGAAATACTTTGGTAAATGATGTGGACTGATGCACACCACTATTTATGTTTTAATATGAGTGCTTTGATTATTCTAGAAACTACTCTCAAGTCTCACTTGTAAAAAGAAATACAAAGGGCCTGTCCAAGCTCTTGGGTTTAGTAATTTGTCACATTTAATGACTCAGACAGCAAATGTCTGCAGGGTTGTGTGACGATTGGCTCGAAATTGGAACACAAAATGAATGCTTGTAGGTACCATGGGCTTCCCATACAAATTGCAAATATGTGTGTAAACCAAAATGGACATGCTGGCTTGGGGTGCATTACAATTAAACATACATTAACATTACATTTTGAAAGCTTCACCTTGAAATTCAGAACTCTCATTGTGGGGGTTACAGTCTCAGAGACTGTACTTATTACAGTTTAAAACAATGTTACCGCCACCTCATATGAGAAGGAACTCCTAACACCACATTTATCTTGTAGTTTCTCTGGTCTCCAGACAGGATTTTCTGGAGCACAGCCAGAGTCACCATCAGTCAGTCTATAAGCTCCCACATGAACAGCCCATCTAACCTGACTGTTGAGTTTGGCGGGAGAGCCAACGCAAACAACTTTTTACTTTCCAGTTCATTAAAATAATTACATTGGCTAAAAGCAGGCCAGCTCTAGAATCCTATATTAACCTTTAGACACCAAATGGCCATTTTCACACCAAATGCAAGATTTAATGGCACTTTCTCTCTTCTACCTATTACCACCTGACTTTTCCTCTAAGACAGTACAAACTTATTCTGTTTAGAATTATAGAGGACACTGTGCTCCTTGGAGGCTTGAACACTGCCAGAATTTCTTTTTGTAGCCCATCTCGTGCTGTGTCTTGACACAATCCTGTCTTCGGACTCCAGGGGCAATTCTTTTAATCTCAATGGTCTATCTTTCATTCATATGCATTGCAAGGCTACAGATGTTGTAGCTAAGTATAAAATATTGGACACATTCATTACCAAATGACAAAAGTAATGTTTTTCAATACTTTAAGAATGTCTGAATTTCTTGTTTTAGCTACATTTAAATAATCACTGCATGTCAGTTTATCCATGTCAGTAAGATGTGCCACGTTAAACAGATTTTCCACAGAAACTATTTTAAGTTTCTGGTAATGCTCAGGGCTGTGATTTGTGAGGTGACATCAAGTAACGACTGGTGAATCCTTTAAGAATTTATGGTGTTCTGTGCTGTGTAGCACAAAATATGAGTATCACAAACAATACAGTGACATAATGTAGGAGCAGTGCAGCTGTGGGGAGGTGCAGATGTGGAAGAGCCTCATTAACTATAACTGAAGCTACATGACAACTCTAGACTGGAGTGCTACAGGAAGCAGCATCCACCAAAGGCCTTATTAGAGCTCTGTGCCTTTAGCTCTTTTACACACTGAAGAAAAATAATAGGTCATAGTCATTGGACACACAGTATGTGATGCAATGGCATCTCTTACCCTCTGTATCTAATCATGGCATCTCATGGCATCTCTTACCCTCTGTATCTAATGTTACAGGCTAATTAAAAGGACAGACCCACTGTATCTGCAGATAAATAGATAATTAGGTGTGTCCTTACTATCTGCAGCTGAAGGTAGTCTCCCAGACCAGATGCGCTGTCCACCCTGAGCAGAATGGCATGTTTCTGCTGGGTGCTGAACCCAAGGGCTAGCCGGTCCGCCCTGGTGCTGGGTCGTTCGTTGGGTGGCCACGTGTAAATTACCACACCGCCATCGCGCCCAAAAATATAGGTGGTTCCAGCTGTTAAAAATGGATTTAAATTATTTTAGTTATAACACAAGCGAATGTTAAACAGTTGGTATGAATCATCAGAGCCTCACCCTATATATTAGTTTTTGTACAGTGTAAAAACAAGAGAATGTGAGAAGAAAAAATGTACTTTTTAAAATATAACACATGACTGGTCCCTCACCTTCTTTACAGTCCACCTACTGTATTTTTCCATTAAAAAAATACTTCAATTCAGTAAAACTAAGAACTACTTCATGTTGCAATATTAGACTCCTCCAATTATTTCACTCAGCGGGTGAAAACTATTATGCACTCTGTGTGTAATACTGCTGGTTATTATTTAATATCTACAAGAGATAAAAGATTAAATTATTAAACATTACTGAGAGGAAATCTGAGACAGAGAACAGATTAGAAGACTTGGAGCAGACACTAAATACACTCTGTTCAGTGGGTGGTGTAGTGTTATTGCGCAACAGATGACAGTGCCCTCACGTGGTGGTTCTGATAAAATGCACTCATATACGTGCTTTAGTACATCGAGTGAAAAAAGTGCATTAGTTTCAGTTCTGCACCAGGGGAATCTTTTGATTAAAATAAACATATGAGACACTTCTGAGGAAAGTCGTATGTCAAACATGTAGTGGCTCATACAGTATTTGAACCAATGTTTGATTGTAATACCTTAAATTCAACAGTGGAGACTTGTTTTGATGTGTACTGGTAATAACATAAGAAACACACACATGTGTTATGTTTACAGACATGTACCATAGTTGACTTCTCCGTACACTAAAAAACTAAAATAACTAATTATTATTGAATTATTCACACTGCGCACTAAGAACACCCACAGATTGCAGACTCACCATCATTGCATAGTGGCCCAGCGTATGAAGTCATGCTGCAGTCGCAGGTGAAGCCCTCCCACTGCTGCAGGCAAACTCCTTGATTTGAGCAAGAGTCTTCCTGACAGGTGGTGCTGGGACCTGCAGTGAGTGATGTGTTGGGGTTAAGGATGCACAAATTAGGAGAAGACAAAAAAAAAAGTCCTTCTCTCTGCCTGAATCCCAGTATGTAAACAACAGAATGTCAGTACCGTATTATTTTTAGACACTTATACCCAATGACACATATTGCAGTTTGAAATGACGCTGCGCTGCAGCAGAGTTTAGTGAGTTATTAGGATGAGCACAGTCATCAGGAATCTGGAGAATGCAATTACGAGGATGGGCTTTCATTCTTTTGAGTTATTCTCCCAGGGATTTTACTTCTACTTCTTAGGAAACTAGCAGTGTACTCACTGGCCACTTCATTATGTCTTCCTCTACATTGTTTGTTCATGGTAATATCTTAATCGGTCAGTCAAAATAAGAACATACAGTACATTTAAAAAGTCAACGATTAAACAAAGAGGTGGAGAAAAAAAAACAAACAAACTGTAATATCCAGTGAGCAACAGTTTTCTAGCTACAAACGACTTTTTAATGCCAGAGGTGAATAGTATAGTATAATCACTCACTCTTACTAGCTATGTTTAAAGAAGAGCATCTCAAAATATCTAAACAATATCCAGTGACTGTTTTGTGAAGAACATAATCTTTGGACACAATTACCTCTTGATTTTCAAATTGCAAATGTGGAAAAAAACATGAGAGCATGGATCCATCTGTCTATCGTTAGTTCATACTAGTCATGGTGGTGAAATGTTGCGGGAAGATTATTTTGCCACACTTTGGGCTGGTTTGTACCTGCTTTAATAGCCAACTGATCCTGTCTATATCTTTAGGACCCCAGTCTCTGATAATGACCTTAAATTTCACACACAGCAAGGCAATTTTTTAAAAATTTAATCATTTATTTATTTGTATTTATTTATTCCACATTAGGGCAATTTCTCTTATTATTTAATCATCTTTGTTCAATTAGGATAGCAGCTTTGTTTTAAATACAATTAAGTGGTTTAAGCAACACTGTAGCTGTGAATGTGTCAACATGGTTAGGCTTGGCAATGTTTCTCTCATCCCAATCAATCTGTGCCGTTAAGAATTATGTTAGTTGTAACAGAAACTGTCCACATCTGTACTATACAGTACACGTAGTGAAGTGGCTAATGAGTATACATACAAACTGCCCTCTTACTGGAATCTGTTAAAAAATGAAAATGCCGTATCTCGGCTTCATGCAGGTGGTGAGGCTCAATGAGAAAGGCGAGGACAGGAGGAGGAGTTAAACATAAAAAGGACAATTATGTTTAAAAGCCATCGACTCAATACTCTTCTCAGCAGCAGGTCATTATTCTCCCTCCGCTTTGTGCTAGAAATCACAGAGGGAAAATGTCAAAATCCCTTTCTTAGTTCTCCTTCAGTGCACTCTGAGTATGAAGCGTGGAGGAAGGGGTGTGAGGTGATTCACAGATAAGAGTATTGAAGTTTGCTTTGGTTACTTTGGAGGGGTTAGTAGGAGGTGTCAGACAGCATGCTGCTGGGCAACCTGGGAGTGGAGCTGTGACCAACTCAAGTCAAGCAGTGGTGGTGCTATCCTTGTGATGATGTCGTTTTGGTGGCTAGGAAGGCACAGGTCAACTCTGACCTTTGACTTTGGATCATTGAGATCCACACAACACTGGACACCACTGGGTAGTCGTGGCACACACTCACACACACAAACCTACGGCCACGTGTCTCATACAGTCACACAAATCATTATACCTTGCAAGTCAGCTTTCATCAATGTAACTTGTCAGCCAAACAAAAAAGCAAATAAGCAAATAAAGTTAAATGGTTAGTCAATGCACACAGATGCTTGTGAACTGCTTCAAGAGTGGAAATGAGAAATACTAAAATGTTATGCAGATGAAAAAAGAATAAAGTCTATAGACTAAAACCTGAGTTAGTAGTGTTAATAATAATAATAAAAAAACAGTAGCAACATGGAGTCTGGACAGAACAGATTTACTCATACCCTACCTTCACAGCCTCTCTCCACCTGTCCCATGGTCGCTAAGGCATCGGCCAAAAGGTCAGGGAGCTTGCCATTCAAATCTACTGTTGCCAGGCAACCCTGGAATCCTTCACGGGAGTGGACCAGCTTCGGCAGGTCTCTGTACATCTCTTTAGAAACGCCCCCAATGTACAAGTCACCTATGAAAGAGCAAGACCGTAAATGGCTGATTTACAATTTAATCACATTTCTAGTTATGAAACATTTCAAATCAGCAACTAAGTTTAGGAGTTCTGTGGAAGACATTTTGCCCTGGTATCCAGGAGGCTTTTTTACTTCAAATTAAAAATGTGCTAAGGTGAAAGTTACATGGTGTGCTAGCAACGACCTGGAGCTGACTCGCAGTGGAAGATTTTAGTCAACAGAATGATTGCAGTTGTTAAACCAGCACACAATGAGCACCAACCAACACTCATTGATGTTGTAATTCACACTTGTGAAGCCTTTTGCATTAGTGGTTAAACATATTTATATTCCACTTCAATTTCAGTTGTGACTAACCAACGAGATTGAATAAAAGAAAAGATCTTGTAAAATAAATACTATGAAAAGTATGGACTAAAGGCAGTACTAACTAAATACTGCTACTAGCCACTGCAAGGATCCTGCTTATTAATTATTGTAATTGCCACTGTTAATAATGAACCCTACCTTGTAAGTTAGCAACACAACAATTGTTGTTGTTTCTTTCAGCCTGCATACCTTTTAGATCGAGGTTCTTGGCCCCCGTGGTGGTCTGTGTGGTGACTTTGGTGTCGATCTTGACGGTGTGAAGATTGTTAGTGTCTCGGGATATGTGCACATTGTGCCAGTGGTTGTCATTCAAAGGACTGTTAGAGTTACCCTTAATCAGATGTGCCCCATTGCCCAGGTCAGATATGTAATGTAGGTAGCTGGACAGTAAATAAAGGAAGAGGAAATGTTAAGGAACAAAAAGAATTTAGCATTTCAGCGTACAGAAATGTTAATTTTTTTTTGGCATAACTCTACAAATAATAGTTAATTTTATGTGTTAAGATGGTGTGTGATCCACACGGTATTTATCCAGCTCACCCTTTGACAAGCTCTACTACAATGAAGTCATTGCCATCTCCTCTGTTAAACAGAATAAGGCCATCAGGGGACGTTGTCTTGAACTGCATGAAGAGATGCATGGAGTAGTATGCCTGGAGTGTAGGCAGCGTGACAAAACTGGATCGTGATCGGAAGGTGACGGGGTCAGCCACGATACTTTTGTAGCCAATGACAGCATTGAGCTCGCAGTAGTCAATGTCGCCGTTCTTGCACAGGTCGATGTAGGGCATGCCGTTTAGCGCTAGGCCCTGAAGGTGGCCGATAAAATTGGAGGGCACAGCCGGTATGAAGCGCTTCTCTGTGACAATTCCTGTCTCCACATTGTGGAATTCCAACTGGGTGTGGTCACCTGCCATCTGACCTGGTGGGAGAAGCAAACTATTAAAGTGAGGGCAACAAATCTTACTGCTTGTTTTGGCATATATTGAATGCAACTACATGCCAGGATGCAAGTTCCAGACAGAAAATACAGAATGTCCTTTATATAGCGAACAGCTGTAAGTACATCTAACATCTAATTACCTTCAGCAGGCTGCAGATCGTCAACGGTGAGTTTCAGGCTCTTGCCACGACGAACTACTCTCACTGTGTGCCACTCATTATCATTGAGGTTTGACCCAGCAAAGATGGTCTCTGGGCCTTTACCTACACATAGCCCAGGAGCACCATTATCATATGCACAGAGATGTTGAGGCAGAATGAGAAGATAGAAATGCAAAAAGACAAATGCATAGACAGAGAGCCGAGTGGTGGAGAGGCTGAGAACCAGGAAGGCTTGTTCAAAGTTTGAGGACAGAAAGCAAGGAAGTGTAGGGTAACAGCAGAAGGAAAGGAGGGAACCACACACATCCAGGGAAGACACACGCTTTTATAGACACACTCACTACAGACTGACAGACAAGTCTTCCAGACAAATGCCTAAGTTACAATAAGCCGACTTGGACAATTCATCTGTGAACCACTTACACTTTCCCGATGAACACTTACTATACACATATGTACATTAAATCGCGCTGTAAGCTGTGCAAGTTAGCAGTAAATGCAGTATCGCCAATGACCTCATGATGGCAATAGACACACAGAAGAAAATGTGAGCTCTCCGAGGTGCTGATTTGCAGCAGAGTGAAAGAGACCGAGCTGTCCTGATGATGTCTTTCTTTACCTCTCTCTGCCCAACAAACGGCTTTAACCTAAACATTAGTGACTGCACCCACTAGACAGGAGGACACTTCCCAAAATTCCCTAAAAATAATTTTGCTACCTAATCCTAAGAGACACAACACCACTCCCTAAACCCCTGAGGTTTGATTAGTTTGCTTATAGGAGGCGATGAAGTAAGAAGAAATCTGAAATCTAAAAGGTCATGCACGCTGACTTTAGGTGTATAGACAAAGAGCAGACAGACAGGTAGAGAGGTAAATAGGAGACAGACTCAGTAAGCATAATTCATTATGACTCGTCACAGAAAATGGAAGTAGTGGAATGGAATGCATGCGTGTGTATGTTTTCGAAGCTAAAAACCATGAGCTGTACGTGCAGAGAGGACAGAGGGTTCCCCTGAGGAGACTCAGCTGTGTTCTGGGCACGAAGACCTCATCCTGTTACCATGGATCACTGCATAGCACTGAGAAATAGCAATGTATGGGCTTGTTTGTGTGTTTTTTGCATATGTACCTTGAATATTCAGAGAATAAGCAGACTGATGTAAAAGTGAGGCAGTGATCTGTGTCAACCTGGCACCACCGAGAGGCAGACAAGCACAGACACACAGACACACACAGCTATTCTAGGTCAGTGCTAACAATGCAGTCAGCGGGATGAGGTAATGTTTAATTTTGAACCAATGGGTAATAGACACTCGGTGCTCTTGCCTGAAACAAAGAGACAAGAGAGACAAGAGGGACTGCCTTTTGATAAGGAAATACATTTCAAATCAAATGCCATAAGCTACCGGAGATTATAAAAGCAGGATAATGAAAACAAAATGGCAAAAAGCGTTTCATATTTCATTAGCTCTAAATAACAAATGGCTTTTCTGCTGGATAAGCCGCAAATCTCTCCTATGCAGAGGCTTTTATTTGACTGCTGAGTTGACTATTTCACTGGCGCCTGGCTGTTAAATAATTTTTTCCCCCTCTCCCTTGAATAACTGATGTATAATTTATTGTATGCACACAGTGTGCCAGAGAAGTGGCTGCCTCCTGTAATGTTCATTGAGACAACTGGTCTAAAATTGGCCAACAACTATGCGGGATAGCATCGCAGCTATGTGGCTAGTAATGTTTCTATGGCAACTGCAGTCATCCATTTCACCACGTCTTTGCCGTCACATTGCCCTCCTCCTTCTTCCTCTCTTTCTATCTTCCTTTTCGCTTTCTCCACCTCAGTCCCTTATTCTTCTCAGTGTTCGTGACAGAGAAACTCGACGTAAGGGAATTACATTTCATCAGGAATCGGCCCCCCCACACACACGCAAACATGTAAATGGCCAATGAGAAAAAGAGCACACAATATACAGTATATACACCCAGACACACAGACTGTGTAATTCTACCTGAAAGATTCCTAGTTTAGTGAAAGCCAACTTACAAATTCAAACAACTAACCAGACTAGGAAAGGAAGCAGCAGCAGAGTAAACCACAGGAATAACATGTCTTTTCTTATGGCTTGAAGCAGAAGCAATTAGTCTGCATGGCTTTTATCCACCAGATATTACACTCCACAAAACAAAACAAAAAAATTCTACCTCCCCCCAGTCCCCACCTCTTCTCCTTTTCTCCCTCAACTAAAATGGCCGACGAGGTAAACCCTTGCCCTAAGCAAATAACAACACCCTTCTAGAGTACAACACAGATAAACAGATAAACATTTATACACATATACACACTCACACACACACACACATACACACAAACATACAAATGTGTTGACTGAGGGTAGATGATCAGATGCACCGACAAGACAGTGAAAAACAGTCGAACACAGTCAGATGTGGAACAACATTTGCACTCCTGCACACGTACACAAACTCACACTCGTACTGAGGAGGAAGAGTTAGGGGAGTGGTTAGGTGAGATGGAGGATCACTTACTGGCTGTACAGTTTATCCTGATACAGTCTGGAGGGAGAGCAGAGCAGAGGGTTAATGCTGCACACATATGCATACTGTCCACGCCCTGGGGACGCACACATCGACACACCCTGCACTCGTATATACAAACACGCACATGCACGCACACTGCTATGAAAACACACTCTCTTTTGTCACAAGTTGGACAGTGCTTTACATGTCACCTTTTTAAATTTGTAAAATCTTCAAAAGAGGAGAAAATAATAATCTTCACAATGACCAGTGACATGGTAAGGAGAGGTGTGTGTCTTAGCATGAGCAGAGTGCTCAGTGGTTGCTCTGGTATGAGTGACAGTTCAGTCCCCAATCAAAATCATGTGGAGACTGAGATGGGCTTGGTGTCAGTCTGTCCAGTGACATCAGAAACACAGCCCACAGTCTTTGTCACCCATCCTGAGCAAATCTCTGCAAAAATTTGGAAGGTTTGGACCTTATATTCTGTTGTTATCATTATTGACTCTGTAATGACCTGGTGTGTCGTGTGGCATCAACCACAGAACAGACGTGGCTGCGGACAACCAGCGACCAACACATGCACCCCTTTATTTATATCGTTTAGTGGACTTGAATCAATTTGAGGCATACAGACAATGGAGGACTGTGCGTTTCCTGCCATTGTGTGTACTGTACGTACAGTACGTGTATGTAGTATGTGTGTGTCTTTGTTGGACTGTTGGGGGTGTTTGGGATGCACAGGTCCACTGGGAGTGAGCAGAGAATGCAGCTTGAGGATCAAACCCTCTGTTCAACATAACAACAGTAACTTTCATTTCTGTGTCATGTGCATGTGTAACATTATGCATGTTATCCTTGAAAGCCTGTGAAACTCATGTCATGAATATAGTTAATACAAACAACAAAATCACACATGATTCATCACACTGCTAACATCTACAATTACTTATTATGTTATTCCAGCTCCTTCCTTACCTTTTTTTACAGTCTTAATTTATTTTTCTTTATGCTTAGCCTTTTTACAGCTGGACATAGCTGGGTTAGTACACCCCACCACCGCACCCCCCAGGATTAAATGATCTATTGCAGACAAAATACTTAGATTTTATATTCAAAATATTTGTGCCACAGTGGACAAATGGCAGTGATTTTTAATTCCTTCCTTTTTTGTGTTATAGGAATTATAATGTTTTATAAAATACAGTGGTGATTTGAAGCAATAGCCTTGAATGTGCCAACACCGACAATAGTCCTATTTACACTGCAGAAAAAGTCTGGGAACCATTAAATTAGAAAATTATTCTAATAAATATTTTTTTAGTATTTTGCCAAAAATGCAGCCATCTCTACAGCTTAAAGAGGCAATAAGTGATTTCTATTTATACCCAATTCGTGAGCCTGACACATTTAATGTCACTCCCAGTATCTGTTGAATTCCCCTGACACAGAATTAAACACACATTTGTTCACATGTACCTAAGTTAACCGTGAGTCGGACACGTCCACCATCCAGCTCCAGACGAAGGGTGTCGGCAGAGTTACGGGATGTCGTTGCCATGAGAACTCCATATGCCCGCTGGGAGCGAAAGCGTAACGAGACGTCCTCTGCCTCAGTATGCATCACCACAGGCAGCTGCACTTTCATAAACTTGCTGCCGTCGTAGGACAGGATAGTCGCATCTGTATTAGAAGAACAAGACAAGTGGGAAGGAGTGAGTGAAAGACAAGCAGGTCGAGACCGAGATCGTGTTGGAGGCAAGTGAGGAGAATATAGAGAGATAAATAAGAAAAAAAAAGTTAGAAAAGCAGACGGAGCATGCTGTGTCAATGTCTTTTTTGTGAAATTTCTTCCAATAAAAAAGTTATTAAAAAAAGAAAAGAAAAGCAGACAGAAGCGATGACAACAAGTAAACATGTGAAGAATGGAGTAACAAAGGCAATTTGACGTTGAGTGAGCCAGATAAAGTGCTTACAGCATTGTTCTACTCCCCATCATGTCATGTTCAAAACTCCCAACAAATGTCTCCCATCACTTTTTCACCCTTAATTCATCATCACCCCCTCATAAGACAATATAAAAATAGCTGCACCTGGTTGGCTGCCCCTATTATCTGGTTAAATCAGAATGCACAGCAGTGAGTATGTTAGCTACTGCTGCTGACATCTCAGACCCTGGAGTCATAATGTAACAAGCTCAGGTGATCCCACTTTAATGTCTTCTGCGTACTCATTTACATATTCATAATCTTCTCTCCGTGCTACCTGCTGGGGCCAATCCCCTGCTGCAAACGTGTTTTTCACTGAGGTCCCTGTTTTTTTTTTCTTATTGGCCAATTACATAGACGGCTAAATACTCTCTGCATTTATGTGTCTCCATCTCCCCCTCTCCTACGCCTTTGCCTCTTATAGCTCTCTCTGCTCCATTTTCTCTTACGGTTTCCTTTCCTTTCACTCTCGCTGTTTCCGTGGGAGACGTTTGGAGCCAAGGCAAAAACAAGAGAACAGGAAGAGAGTGAGGCCTCATGAATACTGATGAGCTGAGAAGGAGGGAAAAGAGAGAGGGAGAGAGAGAGAGAGAGAGAAAGTGTGTGTGTGTGTGTCAGAATAAGTGAGTGAATTTAGGTGTGAACAGAGGACGATTTAGTAAAGTGAGAGAAGGGGAGAAAAAATAGGGACAGCGCAGGGAGGGGGTTTGAGGGGAAGAGCTCTTGGCTGAAATGCAAATGAACCCTCATTAAGTTGAGGGGAAAAAACAGTAGCTGTCCTATCATATCACGCATGACATACCTAACAGACACACACCTAAACACACACACACTCTAGTTTTGATTTGGAGAGACAGCTTACTGGGAAATCTCCCCACCATGACACCTGAGTCACTACCCAGCAACATACGGAGCCAAAGTGTGATCAAATTATTGCATGGATTCCTATAATTCACCCTAAAAAGAATCTCACATCATTGGAAGAAAATAACAAGTGCTTTGGCTTAGCCATTGGTTCTGTCTGAAGACACAAAAAGAACTAAGAACACACACTTTTTTTTAAAAATAACAGTTGTTGACCAGGAGTGTAAGGCATTAGCGGGGGAATTGCTGGTGCACTAATGAGTGTTTACAGCAGCATAAAATTGTTGGTCAGCTTCAAAATAACATAAACTGCAGTGCAGACAGTGATTATAATGAAAGGGCACGTCCATTAAAGTGCATCAGTGCGTGTGTTGTTTTTTTTCACTTTTCTGATCACAGTGAAGTTTCTATGGCAGAGGTTGGAAAAGATTACACTGGGATTTGGTTTCACATGCTAACGTCGGTTCCTTGGATTTGCTGGAAAGAAAAGTGTAGAAGATCATGTAACTGTTGCATTCAGGCGTGTCAGCTGGGGTTTTGTCAGTGTTACTAGTGAGCATGATAAAATTGCTACATTTGTAGACATCAGCCAGGCATGCTGTCTGAAATGATGACGGGAGATATTACAGCACGCTTTGCTGTGTCGACACCTGTCTTTGACTCATTGTCAGTGTGTGGGCTTATCACAGAAAATGATTGACATGAGTTGTGTTGATGCATTGCTATTTACTCTTACATCATTTCTGGCCAAAGTGACACTGTCTGTCAATTCTGAATCTATAGCCCTGACACTGAATATCTTTGAAAAAAAACAAACAAACCAAAAAACATCATCAAACATAAAACATCATTTACTTGGAAAAAATAATTTGAATTATAGGTGAAACACATTCTAATGCATGTAGATAAAGCTGTCCCCTTTATAACACAGTGTCTTCCAAAGAATCATAACACAATTACTAAATATAAATTGAAATAGAATTCAGACAGTTAAAATCAGTACAGATTTACCACAATATGAAGTACTTGAAGAAATTAGTTTAATTCCAAGTCTTATTTTTTAAAAATCACTGTGTAGTCCTAAGTCGTGCACAGCTTCCATTACTAAACCAGTCGTCAAGGTCAACCAAGTACAAGTGAAGAAGATACCGGACCACGTATTACAATATGAATTCAATCAATTAAAGCTCATTATATCTAAATTGGATGGTTGTCACTGGGATTTTAGAGTTTAACAACTGCAACAACGTTCAATCAGTTCAAATAAATGGCTTTGTTACCGTATCATTTTTAGTGCCACATGTGTACACGTGGATACAACAGCCTTTTCAGCACTAGTTGGTGAGGCAGTGATTTTAAATGTCAGAAGTGGGATTTCTCAGAAATGTAAAACATGTCGTACATGGAAAAAAATGTACCTTTGAATTTTAAAGACATACTTTAATGCTAGCAGAAGCAAGACTATTAAAGGACATATAATAGTGAGAGTCATGTTACCACAAATACATCAGTGACTAAAACCTAAAGGTAGAGCAGTCTTCTGTACAATTTTCTTCTTCTCTAATAACTATGGGTGTCAAGACATCTGTGCACACCTAATTGTGCTTCATTTGTTTTCACAGATATAAAACAAACAACAAAGATACCATTTTCTGCTCCACTCAACCTCCAGACTCCCTGTTTTTCTCTGAACTGGGTTTTTTAATGATTAGCTTCTTTTTCAGACTCCTAGCTCAGACATGGACTCTCCTTTTTTATTTTACCTACCTTTGGAAAAAGCAGACAGACTGTGAAATCTGCTCATTTTAAAATGTAATTCTAACCTCAGAAGAAAACCCTTGTCATATTTTACAAGTGGATAGGACATCCATCGAGACGACAGGTAAATTAACACAACTTGTGCAAATGTGTCGCTAGAAAAATGCCTCTAACCGCTCATTACAAAACAAAAATTTATCTTGGGAGCCAGAGTGCGGGAGTGGGAACAAAAGGAGGGAGTGAGATAGCAAGGAAGGAAAAAAGGGAGGGAAAAACTGCAGGTAGAAGGCGTAAACACGGCCAATCACTCTCTCCATCTGCTTCTCCATCTGTGCTTCCTTTAATCCACTGAAGCACCAGTTAGTGACCCCTCAATGCACACACAGAGGGATGAAGTAAGCTACAGAGAGAGGCTACATTACTATGATAAGCACACACTACCAATGTTTGTCCTCTAGAATGAAACGTCCTCCTATCGCCACTTCTCGAACATTTGTCGGTGTGTATGTCTGTGTGTACATCGCCTGTTCAATGATAGTACAATCATCACTCCAGCCGCATCAGCAGTTGTGGCACAAACAAAATTTCTTCTCCTCTCCTTGTCTGACTCCCATCTCGCTTCTTCGTCTTCTATCACTCTCCCTCAATCTTCCTACTCCACAGTTCTCTCTCGGCTTGAATTCATATATTTCCCTATAACTCTCTCTCTTTCTTTTTTCTTTGTCAACTCCTGTCTCCCATTCCTCCTCATCTCCTCACCTGCTTGTCACATGGTGGTTCTAGCCCAGTGGTTCCACCTTCCTCTGTCACGGCTCCTGCTCCCAGCGTTCTCTGCTTCCATTGATTCCCAGTCTCTAACACTTTCTGCAGCCCTGCGCAGTCCCATCTGTTGTTTCACCTTTGGCTTGTTTTTTCTTCTACTGCCTCTATTGTGTTACCTCCGCTGTAACACTTCACCATACTTTTTTATGGTGATGTGCAAGCAAGATTAAGTTTTGTTTCCAAACATTTACTGTCTATCTTAATACTCTTCATAGCCAGGAGTCTTACGAGACATGAATCCTAATTTTGTTTCTGCAATCTTTGAGCTTTGATCTGGGCTAATGATTTAGTTGTTTTTTTTAAATTGTCATAAATCTTTATGAGGGACCTTTTTAGCAAGTAGCAGAATTATCACCTTCAAACGTCAATCTGTCAAGATGGATTGTTTAAAGCAAAATAGCAGAACTTATGAGTGTGATAAATTAAGAGGTTTATTGGCCAATCTAAAGAATGATCTTCATGTATTTTCAGCAGCTGATGGAGATATTATTTTTACTTTAAACCTTCCGAGTTTCCAACAAAGACCATCTGTCTACTGCCACTCATCTCTCTGGCATTAACTCAATGTTCTTAGGCCAAAGAAAAACAAATGAGAGCGCTCTCATTACGACTGTTTTGGCACAGTACTAAATCATTACGAGACTGCATACTTAATTGTGGCATTTAACTGCTGCAAACAAAACTTTCGTCCTCACCTCTCTCACAGGAGCGTCCCAGGTAGCCTGTCCCAGAGCAGTCGCACACATATCGATTCCATCCTTCCCTGCAAATGCCGTTGTGCTGGCAGGGGTTTGAAAGGCACTGCTTTGGTGCCTCTCTGGAGCACGAGGGCTTTACCCCAACTGCCCTCTGGGCCTCGGCTAGTCTCCGGATGTCTTTGCTCTGCCCATCCACAAACAGGTCTCTAATGCAGCCCACATAACCATAGTTCAAGAGCGCTGTCCAGACCTAAAACAAAAAAAGGAATTGTTAAAACAGCTTGACATTGTTTCATGTGTTTGATGATGAATTTATTGGTAAATTAATCCCTCCAACAATTGTGTTAGGGCTTTATTTTTGTTTCACTGCATCTGGTGTTGATTATAAATTCTCACATTGTAAATTACTCTTCAGTTTATAGTTATTGGATTTTTATTGGTGGTTAAATCCTGAGCTCCTGCCATCAGTCAGTCACTGTGGTACGGTTTATATTGTAATGTGGTGCAGTGTGTTGCTGAGGTGGGGTTAAGGTGTTCAGTGAAATTGGAATACTGTATAGCAAATGCAGAAATAAGCTGAAGAAGATAATGATGATTTAGTGTATGACTCCTGCAATTCACTTGAAGCATAATGCACAATTATGCTACGTCATTTCAACTCAAAATATGTTGATTTTAAAATCTCACTATATGTGAAAATAAGCATGTGGGAAGAGAGAAGTATTCCCCTGGCTTATTGACAGGACACAATGTACTGAGTAAACTAATTTAATTAAATTTATTGTAATAGGGTTCCATATAATCTAATTAGGGCCACACGTTGGCGTGCAGTTAGCCTTGTCAGCCTGTTCTTCTGAATTGTATGCAGATCTCCTGAGAGAAATAACTGAACTTGTGTGTGTGTGTGTTTATATATATATATATACATATATATACATACATATACATATATATATATATATAATTTGATTTATTGATTGACTTTTTTCTGTATAACTGTGTGGTTTAGGCTGGCATGCACTCTAAATCACTCTGTAATCATCTCTGTAACATACTGTTTCTAGCACCACAGGCAGCCCATAGAACCATTTGGCACTTTTTCAATATTCTTGCAAAACAACAGGCTTCTCATCCTGACTGTACACTACTGCTGCTGCTGCTGTCAGAATTCTGACACCCCCCAGGGCTCGCCTCTTCCTGTATTAGCAGTATTGCTGCATAGAAATGTGATTGTCTGTTAACATTTGGTCTTGTTGATTAAATAAAAGGGATCCATCTCAGCCTCTACCAGAGGTTTCTCAGCACAGGCTATCACCTGACATGGGGTTTACCAGCTGCATGCTAGCACATACAGTACTGAGCAAACCTTTTAGGCAAGTGTACTCTTGGGCTTTGTTCTGCAGGAGCTTACATTAAAAGATAGTTTTTGCTCAGAAAAAAAAGAATTTAAATTTTCTTTAAGTCAAAATCATTAAACCAAAATAACAACATTGGCTCTCAGACAACATCTTTGATGGATTCATCTTGTGTGGAAATGTAGTTCAAGTTTCATTGTTGGCAAAAGATGGCACACAAACCTCAGTAGGGAAGATGAGTCCGACACGGTCCTCAGGTAGACCGCCAAGGTACAAGATGTCATCGAGGTCCAGGATCTCACTGTCTCCTGGAGCCGTGTACGCTGTTCTTACACTGTTCACCGAGATTGTTCCTACACGAGAAAAAACCACAGAGGTGAAAAACAACCTGATTTGAAACACTCTCATCTCACTGTCATCACATCCACCATCGTTATCAAAATTCTCGCCCACTGCATCTGCGCAGCTCATCTCCACTTCAAACAAAAGAAGTAGGAAACTGCACAGGCTTGGCCATAAATCATTAATGCATATATTTTTGGATATTACAGAAGTGATACAGTGCCACTGAGGATGTAAAAATATCCTTCTGTGTTTCTAAATCCCACAGTAATTACAATGCTTATAAGCATTCATTTCCATGTTTTGTATACATGGTCTCAGATGTTAGTGCGCTGCATGTAATAGCAGTGTTTAAGTGCAGTTATTGATTGTTTTTTTGAAAGGAAAGTTAGTTGTAAGTTGTATCCGGCAATAACATAGAAAAACAATAATAGCACTACCAGTAAGATGAGGAAAACAGGCCACACTTGCTTTAATTTTAGTCTGTGTAATGGTAATTCTATTAACATAATACAATAACAGTGATGAGGCAACTGTACATTCATTTAGTCTAAATGGTGCATGCAGCACTCTTAAAATTAACTTCAATGATCCTAGTTGGAATTAAATTGAAGACAGACCAGCCGGCAGCCCAATGACCATGCTAATGTGGTGCTTACTATAAAGCCTGATCTTATTTGCTCACTGTTAATGGCAGCTGTGAGTGTACCTGAGCGTCCGTCCCTTTGAAAGTCCACGTGATACCATTCTCCGTCATTGACTTTTCTGTCAATAGCCTTGGTTTTGGTGGTCCCTGACCCCATGTCCAATAGCAGATAAAGGTGTCCATCCAACATCTCAATGGCAAAGAAGTCCACCTGTAGGTCGAACACATCAGCATCAGTAGTCTGTAACTAGCAAAGGACATACTGTATATAGCTGAAAGTAAAACGCTAAATTAACGTCCAAGTCACATTTAAATTTTTGCAATGCTTCTCCCTGTTTTTACCTCAAAAATATTCATTTTCACCTTGACTGTGGGTGGTGTTCGAGGGTCCTTGCGTTGCTGTTGTCGAGGTTTGCCGTGGCTAAAAAGCATCAACCCATTGGGCTCCGTGGTCCGGAAGTCAAATGAGATGGAACCCGCCTTCTTTGCTGTCCACTTACTCAGCGCAACATAAGACTCTGGGGTGTCAAAGGTCACTGGGTCCAGTGTGGCAACACTCTCACACTTAAAGGACACCACTCCACTGACCTGGAGCAGATGTAGGAGAGAGTGGTTTTAGCATCTGAGATGCTGGATACTCATGCCCAGAGAAGAACGTGACTGAAAAAGTATTTATTTGGTGTCTGAGGCAAAACTTAAGCCATTTGTCTCAAGATGTTAACTACCAGACAGCAGCTTGGTGCTAATCCAACTTCATTAAACGCTCCAGTGTATATTTTTCAGAAAACAGAAGACTGAATATAAAATGTTGCTGCGAAAGGCTAGAGTGAATCAAACGATTACAAACCTTCATCTTGGGGTCTCCTTGTTTAGCCAGTCTTGACAGCTCCAGCCGTACGTCATTATTCTTGTAAATAACCTTCAGGGAAAGAAACGGGGATGAATGAAACATTATTTTACCAAAAATCAGCCATTCCTCTTCACTTGTATTCCTTTTTCTTGGATTCTATTCAGATATTTCTGCTGATGCACAATTTTCTCCTCTTGTCATTATTTATTAAACATTAAGCACAACATAAGCACCAGGAATTAGACTGTTTAAATCTTTTGAGAAGTCACAAGAGACGGGGAACATAGCACTGTTAATGTAACCAAACAGGCATTCATCTTTCAACTGTGGTAATGTTTTTATATTTAAGTGTTTTGGGATTTGCATACGAAAGTGAGATCAGCAGGCCACTCCAGTCTCATTTGTTTGAAAATTCCCATTTATCCATGACACATGTATTCTGACTATTACTCTGAGTCCTTTCTTCTCTGCAGCCTCTCCTCTCTTCCCCCTGCTCTCTGGCTGAGCTCTGTGCCTGTGCTGAGCATTTTGATGTCGGCAGAGGCGAACACACACAGGCTCTGCTTTATTAATCCAGACCTATGACCTGGGAGCCACTCAGCCTCATCGCAAAATTTCTCCTCTGCAATGAAACTATTTTCTCTGTCATGGGCTTTTGAGTCTGTGTGTAGGCCAATGAGGGTGATTCTTGAGTGTACTACGAGCTGCTGTTGTGCAGAGCTTCAAAGACATGCCTGTGTGTGTGTGTGTGTGTGTGTGTACTTGTGTATCTGCTATTCGCCGAGTGCAGAAAACAGATACAGCTGTGATCGTTCATGCACGTGATTTTCTGCATACATCTTAATTTGCTCACATGGATAATGATATCATCGTATTAAATATGTAAATGTGGCAGCAGAGGGTTCACTTTGACAGCGGTGGCCTCGTTTAAATACCATCAGTCTTAATGAAGCAACACCACTGTGCATTCACCACTGATACAGATAGCTCTCTGTTTGGCACATTATCTGTCGGCTCCTTTGCTTGTTTGTTTATGCCTCTGTGTGCGAGTCTGTGTGAATCAGAGGGAAGCTCAGACAGGGTGTATAATATGGTGGTTGTGAGAATTCATTTGTATATCTATTAGTTTTCCTTGCATCGAGTGCTGTGTTTGCATTCAGGTGTTTGACTATTTTTGTCTGAGTGTATTCTTCTGTGGTGTTGCCTGTGCTCTCCTGCAGCTCGCTCATGAAGAGATTGTTTTTTATAAGCCCTTCATGTGTGTTTTTGTTGTTTCATCGTGGTGGACCATTTCAAACACAGTGGCTGGATAGAGCGCCTCCGTGGCGTCGCTAATTAGCATGTTAGTGCTCAGTGCTGTATCTGCTCCCTTAACGATATTCATCACTGATTCTCTCTGAAGCTGACGTTTCATAGGGATTTAAATTTAGTGTGTGTGTGCATGCTTTTAAAAGACAATGTTTGTGTGATTCGTGACTGAAAGACAAGAATAAACAATATGAGAGGTAGAAAGAAATAAGAAAATTCTTAGTAAATTCAGATCGTAACCTTGATAGTGGTGGATACTTCAGGGAATGTGTTCTTTGAACTTTTATTTAAGGGGTTCCCACATCACCAGCATGTCCATGTGGGCTTCACAAGTATTTGATCAACATGGGTGGTAAAGGAGCATCAACATAAGTTAGGGTGGTTGTATGGGGTGCAGTTAATCCATACTGACTTAAAGAACTTGCATTTGGCCCACAAGAGAATTGCAGTTACACCTATTTTGGATCTCACCTTTCACCCGACCTATCTGGCTGTCACATACTGGCTGGGATTAATCCTACAGTAAGGAAGATGTTCATGATACTCTCTGTGTCACAATTTCTGCCACAGGCCAGATGTTAATTTGACCTTTGGGGATTAATTAAAGTTCATCTCATCTTGATATCACACTATCCAACAGTGGTTTTAACAAGAAGGAAAAATGAATGAACTTGCAGTAATTGACAAATTTTCAACAACATGTATCAGATGGGTGGTGTCAAATATAAATGTTCCCACCTCTTTGAGGCAGCCCATGAAGTTATTGCTGACTGGAGAACCGGGCAGATCAGCCGTGCTGGGGCTTCCTCCCACGTAGAAGAAATCATCAGAGCCCAGCATGGTGTAGTCCTCCTGCGTGTAGCCTGTGGTGGTCAGGATGCCGTCCACAGAGATCGTCACCTACACAACAAAGCACAGGGAAAGGACACGCTATATACTCACACCAAAGGTAGCGCTAGGCGCTAGCTAGGCGCTGACCAGCCAAATTAGCCCCTGTTACTCTTGAAACCAATGTGTGTGCAGAGTGGAGGAAAAAAAGGCCTGGTGGATTTGAAAAATAGTCAAAATGTTCTGTTGGGATTTTGGTGGATGTGATTTGATTAGTGCCAACTGTTAAGTAATAGTGCAGCTGAGAAGTGGTATTTCTTGACATTTAGAAATATTGGTGCTGTGAATTGCTCACTTAGCCTACCATCAAACTGTTATCATTCGAAGCCCCTGCAACTAATTGCTGTCAACATGACAACTAGATCCTTTGTGTAATCAAAAACCAAAGCTTTAGGGCCGTTGGTTGGTTCTTGACGTGCACACCCAGACTTGATTTTTTTAGGTCTTTGTGTCTGTCACTGCATTGTGTAAACAAGTATAAAATGCACATTAACATGTTTGACTTTTTTGTCCTACTTAGAGGCATCATTTAAACTAGAAAAAGAAATTGAATTTACACTGAGTATAATAATAACACTGCCACAGGTATTCCTGAATTTTACTTGCTCATTTTGCTGTTAAATAGACCATACAGAGGCATTTAGGCAACGCAGGAAGCCAACCCTGTCTCCCATAAATCACAAGTAATGGTATGTTATCACCTTGATATTCTACAGTACATTAATGTGTTTGACTGCCTGTTTCAAGTGCTCACTTCCTCTAGTCAACGTCTCTCTATGTGTTTTGCTGTTCCAGGCATACTTGCCCAGCCAGACAGGTGTTAGTGAAGTATCCACAGGCTTCATCATGCTACACATCTGGTGTTAGTACTGTTGACTTGTTAGTGGTTGTTAGTTGCTGCACTGCCGGCAGCCACAGAAAGTGTTACTAGTGTCAGGCCAGGCTGTTTGGAGTGGCTGAGATTAGGGTCAATGGTTTCAATGTTGTTAGTAGTTGTGATGATGTCATGTGATAGTGTTGTTAGGGTGAGATGTGAAAATGGTGTTAGTTAGTTAGTAGTGTTGGGGGGGGGGTTTGTTAGATCAGCGAGTCAACAATGAAATGACTTAACAGACGAACACTCACAGATCGATGTATACACACACACACACACCCACACGCACACGCCCTCATGTTTGATGGGTTATGGCTCATTCCCCACACATTGACACACACGTACAAATATAAAACCATGCAGCCTGTTCCTCTCTCTGCATGCAGGCATTGGCAAAGAGGACACAGTAGGTTGACAATCGACAACAGAGGACAGAGTGAATCATCGGCACAATGGAGAGCATGCCGTTGGAGAGTGGAGGGTGTCAAAATAAAAAGAAGAAAGGCAAAGGAGGGAAAGAAGGAACCTCTCTTTCTGTTTTACAGACAAATTAGAGAGGCAAATGTTTCTGTCACGCCATGCAGGAAGGGGGGCTTTACATCTGCGTGCAGGTGAGGCATGAGCCAATCAGTACACGCCTACATGTCACATAGTGATGAGTGAAAAAATTGTAAAAAAGAGGGGGAAGGATTTAACGTAAAAAAAATTGGTTGGCAAGGAGGAAGACGTGGGGGTGGGGGATTTTAAGCACAAAAGATTACCAACCGCTTTGATCCTTCTATTGGTTAAGTTTTGATGTCTATGGTTCAAAAGGAAATAGACACGGGGCAAACCCAAACTAAGGAACAGTTAGAATGATATCTACCGAACAACGGAGTTTGTTTACCATAGCGTGTCCAATGCCTGAGTGCTTTGTAGAAAAGGGGGAGAAAGGAAAGCAAAAAACTGTGAACAGAACAACTTTGGGAACAAAAAGAGGAAAGCTAGAAGGCCTCTGGTGAGGTTGAAAGTTTGGTTGGAGTGGTTTCGCTAGGAGAAGGGCACAGGTTAGGTTAGTAGAATGAATCATTCCATGGATGGTGGTTAGTTTCACTAGCAGGTTAGTAAAGTTAGTTGTCAAAGTTAGTTGTACAAACAGGCAGGGCACAAGTTGGTTACCAGCACCTGGGTGCCAGTGACCCTCAGTGTTTAGAATTCAGAGTTCACGCTCACCCATTCACACACACCCACAGTTGAGAAAGCACTCACCTAGAGCTGAAAGCAGTGCTGGTCTGGCTGTAAACTAAGACCAAACCTCAGGTATTTCCTTCCTACCACAGTATCACTGTAGTTGGACAACAGACCTCTGACCTTAGCTTTAACAATCATTAGTGGTTTAGACTCTTTTCAGCTGCTCATTTCCACTGAAACATCTGTGTTTAACCAAACAATTAAATATTTAGACAGTCAGAAATACCAAACCCCTGGCTACAGAACAACTTCATCTAAACAGAAAAAGAAACTGCTAACACATGTTCTATGTCATGTTCTATTTGATGTATTTACATTTTTTAGTCAAACTTGTTTCAAATTCCAATTAAATTGGTGAAAAAAAGCAACATTCCGTTTTATCACCTTGTTGCTTTGTGACACGTGATGACAAAATTTTGAAATTGATTTTAAGCATTATTTTCCAGTAACATTCGAATACAATCATGCATACGTGCATACATACATGTTTTCGTCTTCTATAACTTTTAAATCCCTGACACGTACAACTCATCTTCTTCTTTTCTTTGCTCAGTCTTTTTTTATGTTCTCCTGTTGTTTGGTTACCTGTCTCAGGTTGCGGGTGACCTTGACATCGTGCCACGCGTTGTCGTTGAATTTGCCGTTGACCGGTTCCACCAAGGCCTCAAAGGCTCCTGAACCGAGATTGATGACCAGTGATACGGCGCCGTTCTTCAGTGCCAGGTTGACGTAGTCGGCTGACTTGCCCGTGTGTAGCATCAAACCGTTGCGCTGCAGTGTTTTAAAAGACAGCGTGATTTCATCGCTGCTAGATTGGATCGGGTTAGGAGACAGGTCATAGCAGAAGTACTCAGAGCCCTTGAAAGTGGCAACATAGTCCTCCCGAGCTGAGAGAGAGAGAGAGAGAAAGAGAGAGGGGGGGGAGAAAAAAAAGGAAAAAAAAGTGAAGATGCCATTACATTCTTAATGCACATTTTTAGGATTTTCACATATCCTTACTGTCGCTTCTTCCCACACTCCTCCACACAATATGTTCCAAAGATGATAAAATGGTGGCTGCTCAAAGCCATCTGAGTAAAGCAAAGCTCAGCTGGGCCTGTTCAAATTTGATTTGGATGTGCAGTACAAAACACATTGTTGAAGATGCTGAAAATGTTTTTGTCAAGCAAAGCCTCGCTGATGCCAGTGCTTGGAAGAAATACTTCCTTCCATACCTCTAATCGTACCATGAAGTGGTGTGTAAACAAGCTTTGATCACTCATGTGGGTTGGAGATTAAACAGAACGTGGATGCTAGAGAGACAGTTGTGAGTATGTAGCATTCCAAATCTGCCGTCTTCTGTAGTAGTACTGGCAGTGTGAAGTCAAATGCTCTTGTTTGACAGTATGCCTTATTTTGTGATGTGTGTCAAAAGTAATTACGTGTGTGGCAGGAAAACGTTAGAAAGGCTTGGAGAGGCAGGGCAGAAGCTGGAAATGACGAGCCAATGGTGCATTAGATGTTAAAATAAATGGCAGACAAACAATGAAAACTTACCTAGCACACCCTCTGTGGTCCTCAAGAACACAAGATCGAGGTTTTGCATTAAGCGTGCGCTCTGTTATCTACACTCATACAGTATATTCCAGGCACCCGAGGAACAGTTATACACACCTACACACACATCTGTGTGCATAAATGATCGTACCTACTGTGCTAGCACACACAACAAGGGACAGCATTATCGTCCACCCCCACCCCCAAACTCTAGCCATCCCCCACATCCATTCTAGTGTTTTCTTCAACAGCGTCCACCTATCTTTCACACCAGTTCCCTCATTGGCCTCTTTTTCCGTCCTGCTCTGTGTAGCCTGTGGCATAACCACCATTTTGTACTTCTGGATAATGAGGAGAGCGGAGAGGAAAATTAACAGACGCCAGGTCAGGATGGAGCATGACAGACACTTGGCAAAGAAATGTGGTGTCAGTGACAGACAGAGCATCACGTACTGACAGACTGATATGTGAGAGCTTATTGAGATGTTTTTACGAGTTACAAAAAAGAGGTAAAAGCAGTTGAACACGTGAATACAATTTTTCCAAATAATTTGGGAAATAAACGTGACTTAAATTGTTTTTGGGTTAGCCTAAATGAGTAAAATTGTGAATTCCCTCTCTTGCCAGGGTTTATGTTCACCCTTTAACCTGGGCTAAGATGTTGTTAGGTTAGGGGAAGGTTTTACCAAATAAATAAACACTACCAGACAACTGTTTATACTGACACACCACATGAAATTGCACAAAAATTATATTTAAAATTTAAAATAAATCTAAATAAAATGTGTTTCTGAGCTTATAATTGGATATATATCTGCAAATGGACAATAAAATGTCTTTTTATGATTGCCTGGTGTATGCTGGGTGTGGGTGGGTGCTGGTTCTGTAAATATTGGTGTATTGCTGTCAGAAAAGCTATTACCAACTGTGGGCCTCCGGCTAGTCTTTACAGAGAGTAGTGAAAGTACAAAGGAGGAGGGAGACACACACAGACACACACATGCACGTCAAAAAAAAATAAAAATAAAAAATACACCAGCATATTCAAACACAGACCGACATACGCACAATCTACGTACAAGAGCAAAAGTGTGTGCAGATGCAAATGCAGATGGGGCGGCACAGTGAGGAGGGGGTTGGAGGGTGGGGTAAAGAGAGCCAAGTTGTTCACAATGTGAACACACGCAGCTGTCCAACAGCATACTACCAGTTATTTACAGGGGTGCTGCTGGATTTCAGTGTGTGCTCGGCCATTCTGTTGCTAATTTACAGACATGTCATTAGAGCAGACAGGGGAACATAAAGCATCTCTGCATCGATGGAAGCTCTGGCGCGCAAACACTCTCTCCTTGTGCTATTACATCACACACACACACAACAGTCCCCCACATACACACACAAACGCACACAGGCCCCCAAATCAGCCAGGATGCATACTGAGCCAACACAAAACACAATGATGAATGTGTGGAAGGACGCCGCAAAAACACACAAACACGCACGCTCTCAGGGAAGGGAAGGTTAGAGTGGATCTGTTGTAGCTCAGATAAATGGAGTGAGTCAGTATTAGCTCAGAGTAAACAGTGAGACAGACACTGACATACACACCACATGTCACACTTCATCCTTTGGCGAACACTGTCGATCAAAGAGGACTGAGCCGGAGAATGAGGGTCTGCACTGAAGCGTGGTTAAAAAGGGAAACAAAAATGAAAGCAAATAAAACAGAAACTGAACAGATACCTCTTGAGGGAGGTCGTTTAATTTCCCAGGTAACATTCAAGTATTTGACTTCATACCTTGTGTGAAAATGTGTTAGTAGTCGTACTAGTTGGCGGTGTGTTTGTTGTGTAAGGCCCACCAGTGGGTCTCGGCAGTACGTTAGCTTAATAACAGCACCTTATCAAATTAGGGAGGGGGTGGGGGTGGCAAGCAAATCTTATTATTGCTTAGTAAAAGGTTATTTAATTCCCAATGGAGGTTTTAAAACTTTATTATCTGAAGGTTTAATGATTGTTGTACTTTTTGCATGATTAACTCCTCTAATGACTTTTTATTAGAACCAGCTTGAATTACAAAGCGGTTCTCAAAATGTAAACTTAGAATATGGGTTCAAAAACATAATTAATGTGATCATATATGTATCACAACAAAATGAGTAGCCCCTGAAGTGAGTTAAATGTTTTATCCTGTGATCCTGCATTGAGCATGTCTCTGAAACTGGTTAATTGCTAATGATAATAATCTGAGGCAGCACAATTATCTGTAGTTGCAGCTTTTGCCTTAGAATGCTTTTTTATTTTATTAGCTTCCTCTAATTACAAAGTTACCACATTAAAGGAGAGAAAAGGAAAATCTGCGAAGGTAGAGAAGCTCCAAGACAAGAGCACATCAATAGCTATGAAGACACAACTATGGAGGCTATATGTAAAGTGTAGTGCTATATGTAACTGCCATTAGATCTTAGAAGCTGTCATAACACTATAACTCTAATAAATAAAGCATAGTGTTGGGAGGAAAGAGGCCGAGGGAGTGAATAACTGAGCTGATGGTTGCTGCTGCTTGGACCATCTGCAACTCCTCTGCTTGTCTAACGATCAAACGCACAAAACATGGATTTCACCCTGCTGTGTGCTTTTTTAACAGGCTGGTTTCAGTGTGTATGTCCACCGTGTGTGTGTGTGTGTGTGTGTGTGCAATTAATACGTGTTTGTCTTTTTCTCGTAGGCCTCTTCCTCATTCGCTCCCTACATTTCCATGGTTACTCCATGTTGCAGGCTTTACACCAAATGTGAACGTGTCTGTGCGTGTCTCAGGGAGAAGGGGAGAAAGGAAGAGAAATTGAGAAGGAGGGCAAGAGAGAGAAAGAGTGATTGAGTGAACAGTACATTATCATGGACAGCTGTACTGAATCAAAATGGCGGATGGAGGCTGGGAGCACATCAGGGGAGCCTACATTATACAGCACCTGATAGAGGGAGCAGGGTGGAAATGAAGCAGGGCAGAGAACGGGGAAGAGACGCGAGGTGGGGAAGGTGTAGAGGAAGGGATGAAAGAGGAGACGAAAGGGCCTCTTTGAGATGAGGAACAAAACATGAAAGAGTTAGGGGAGAGGTGGCCTGATAGAAAGAAACACAAGAAAGGGAGTGGCAAAGAGTAACGGATGGCAAGAAAGAATGAGGGAGAAAAATGCTGGTGTATCTAAATCCTAGTGTGGCCAGTCTCAATCATGGCAACCCTGTCATTCTGCAGATAGCACACTGAAATTCCTCTGCACCTCGTTTTTAGCCCACCATGCAGTTCCGCTATCAGCTTCTCTCAGACTGTCCACACATGCAAATGTACACACGCACACACAGACATATTGACATACACACATACTCACTCAGCATAAACTTGAGAATCTTGCATTAAGGCCTGCCTTCCTAATAGTGGACCGTGGATTAACAACTTATATACAGTATACAGATAGATGACTAGTGTAGGAAATGTATGTAAATACATGTTAATATATGCATAGTCTCCATATTAACTTAAAGTGTTTGAATACACACAGTCAAGTGCAGTAAAGGATGCAACTGCCATTTCCATCTTTATTCAGTGATAGACAGCATCTGGCTTTGAAACTGATTGGGCTATCACACCACAGCCAAGGGAGCAATACTGTAGAGGAGGATATTACTGTCAGGACTCTAGTGACAGATTGGCTGTCTGCACTGCTAAGCTCTTAGTCCTCTTTTTGTTTTTGCTGTTTTCCACTTGAAAGCGTTCCCAGTGTGACATATACGACGTGTTTAAAAAAAAAAGGTAATGCTAACGCTCCAGTGAGCGCGGAAACAAGTAATTATCTGACCGCCGGAGAATGGATCCACCAATCTGAGGATTGGTACGTCATTTATGAGTGTGAATGTGACTTTCAGATGGAATATGTTTTGGTCTTTTTTAAGATGCCATGCAGGGAAAATAGGGCATAAAAAGGTAAATAACAAAATAAATAGGCTGTAAAATGGAGTATTCTCCTGTTTAATTATGGGGCTCTTTGGTTTTGGCCATTTCTGATGGGCCACAGGAAGTGTAAGTATGTGACTGCTGCTCTCCACTGCCTTTACCTTTCAAATGGATATAGGTTATTATAGTAATTATAGTAATGTGCGTCCTTCTGCCCATGTAGTTCAACTCAGACCATATAGGTAACAGTAACAGTAGTATTTGCCAATGGACCATCATCAATCGGACTGACAAATTGAAAGTCAATGTCATCTCCTTCTTTTTCTTTGTTTTATTTTTCTGACACCACTTGAATCCATCAATTCCAATTCTTTACTTCCTCCTTTTTTTCCCACACACTTTC